ACATTCGACGAACAAACGAGTGAACGAACGATCAAACAAATCATCGTGCACCGAGCTGGGTTGGTGTAATCTAAAGAATGAATATTCTAAAAAACGTGCGAAGGCAGTGGTTATGTTGGCAATGTTTTGTTTTCTGTACTTTTGATCAGTTTGCTAGCTTGTTGTCTAACTTGCTGTTCAAGGCCCATTTGCCAGTGACAAATGTACATTCCTATCTTTAAACAGCATTCAGACAGTTAATTTATGTACTGGCGTATGCAACAGTATAAACGAGAATCCTTAAATACGCAGAGGTATTTAAATTTATTTATGATTGATCACCGTAGAGCTAAAAATAGTATTTCAGACATTCCAATAAGGGTCAACAGGAAATATCCTGGCCAATGATAATTAAACTTACCTTGTTTCTATAATATGAAATATGAGATAGGTCGGACATCAATCATCCTATTTCGGCACCTATCTAACGTATATCCTGCACGCTGAATTCAACATGTATAACACTGTAATGCAGTACTGCATACCATATACATCATACGAGTAAACATATGCTCTATATATATATATATATATATATATATATATATATATATATTGAATTTTGAGTTTGTATAGCGCCAATTATAATTGCTTCTCATCAGCGCTCTCTTCGTAGAAATTAGTAATAGCTAAGGGATAGATAGTATGTTGAAAGCAAATCTATCATCGGTGGAGATTGTTAAGAGTTACCAAATAGTTATGCCTTTAAACGTTTTATAAACTCAGCTAATGATAACCCGGATATACGTAGTTCGATAGGTAGGCTGTTCCAAAAAACCAGGCCCAGCAACTGCAAAATCTCTATTTGCTGTTTTCAGATTCCGATTTCGGATATACATCGTATTTGAATCAGCAGACCTTAGACGCCCATGTCATGACATAGATAAACTCTTACACATTTATCTTCTAAATATTTCGGAGCCAAACCATTCAAACTTTTAAATACCATTACACCCAACTAGAACGTGATTCTTTGTCTAACACGTAGCCAATGCATCTCCTTCAGAACTGATGATGCACGATCAAATTTTAATTTGCAGCATATCTTTTTAACAGCCTGTTTCTATAGTTTACTCTCTAGATATGTTTGACAACATTAACTTTTGTCATTGAAGCATAAACCCTTGTTTGTTGCTTTGTGTATACTGAGGTTTTAAATTAATGTTGCACATTTTGCATTAGTACGTCTAGGAATGGTAGTTTATTGTCAGTGGATTTTTCCATTGTAAACATAATTTTGACAAATTTATTTAATAATTTACGTATTCTGCAACTACATGGTTGTACAAATTCTCTAGATAAACTGCAACAAGTGGTGAAGATGATTGAGAAATAGATCCTATAAACTCGAGAATGAATTGGTAAGCTATATATTATTCTAACGTTAATAAAATAAATAACGACGACAAGGGTTTGGTTCGAAATATTGAGAAATGTTATAAAAAATCAATCCAACGCTAGAAATTCTGTAGATTTCATAAATTACAAACAAGAATCAAACATACAAACGCCGGTATGATACTGCACGAAATAACCGGTGGTCAACATCATTTAGATTTCGAGGAAGTTTTATGTCATCTCTCACGACGACGTTGTGAAAATGGCGCTGCATTTCAAAGCGATCCATCATGATGGAAGCTAGAATTGAATGCTATTGGAAGGCTGCGTATAGACTGCTGAGCTGACAGTCGTACGCGATCCACATGAATTATTCAATTCCATAAAACAAGTCACGAATGTCTACGTATGTATACCTGACCAATATGAATGATTTTTATAAACGGATTTGGCCGATGGTTTGCCTAAATTTGTCGGTACTTCACTTTAATACTTTACTAGAACATGTATTTTAGAGCAAATTTTAGTTATTAAATATCATATCAAATCAGCACTTAAAAAGCTTATCATATCACACTTGAAGTTTTACAATTTCATTTGGAAAAATATCGTTCTCATCGATCCAATGGACAAGCGTAACCAATGTAATTTTTTTAGATTTTTGAAAAATAATTTAGTTGAAACAAATTGAAATAAGTATAGAAACTGAAATAAAAATAAAATCTCATCAAATTTTGTAAAAATAAATGTATTGATAAATAAAAGAATTAAGAAAAGTCATTTATGTATAATTAGCATCCGGTTAATTTTTATTATAAACTCCAAACATAACTATAAAATTTTCACTCAGCATCATCGCCCTGTTTTGGAGGTGCATCTGGAAATTCCTTATCACCATTTAATTCCTCTGTCGTTAAATTCTGCGCATCTGCGTTTATAGAAGCTCGCTTAGGATTTTTTGAAATTTTTCTAATTTTTTTAGATATTCTGTTAGTAGCGGTCGGACGACTCGAAATTGGGGCAGAAAACTTACTTTTGGATAGTGTTGTAGTTTTGCCTGGAGAATTCAATTCCTGTTTTGCTGCTTCAAATTTCAACATTAACGAATCATCACTTTGCACCGAGCTACGACGCGGAGCTGTTATAACAGGGGCAAATTCTTTAATATTTTTTTGTCCAGGCTTTTGAGTAGCTACAGTTTTATCGTCTATTAAAGCGTCCTCTTCCGTTAGTTTATTCCCAGTTAATTTTGGTTTGACAGTATCGGTAGAATTTGAGATAGATTTAACAGGTGTTTGATGGCCATAATGACTTCTGCTGCTTGTATCCTTTCTCGATACGAGCATTACTGCTTCAGGATCGTTTGCCGCATTCAGTGCATACATGTCTTCTTCAATATCTGTTACTTTCGTGGTAGACTTTACGTGAGATGAGGTACTAAGAAATTCTTTGGCTGTCTCTTCATTCCCTTCAAAGATAGCTGTTCCAACAATGTGTCCCAACCCATAGTTTTCAACCAGAACCATTAACTCCTGTGGACTCATTTGCTTACCCATCAACTCTTTATTCTGATCGTCTAAAGGTGACGTAAACATATTATTTATTTTAAACAATTTGGGGTCATCAGCGGTATCCCTCTGGTCTATTTTTGACACTTGGATATCATTAGCGTCAAGTGTTGGCTGTTGAAGAAAGAAAGATATTTGATTCTCCGCTGGATGGAGCTCATCCTTCAGAGCAGAAGATTGCAACTCTTCATCTTCCATAAATTTTATTGCAGGAACGTTCAAGTTGGCTTGCTGCTGCTCGTTCTCATCTAATTCAACGCTCTGCTGACTCTTTCTCAAATCATCACTAATAGCTGTATATGGGAACATGGGTTTGAATTCTGGAAGTGGAAATCCTTTCCAAAGTGTTACATTGTCCGCCAAATCCCAATCTTGACTTGATACCTTGTCCAACCTTGCCGGGCAATCTCCTGCTTTCTGTTGAAACAATAACACTACAAATGAATTGTTGAATCATTGTTCAATTGTAACAGCAATTAAATTGTTGATTGTAATTATAAGATTCTTAGTGATGAAATAATGATTTTGAAGTAGAGGTTTAAACAACGCCGGTGCATAATATACAACCACTGTTGAATATACCTGGTCACAAAAGAATTTACGATAAACAGCCAGATAAGCAAAACAGTTTTAATGTGGATATGATATAAAACAGCAAATAAACAGAACTAAAGCAATTTGATAGCAATAATAACAAAAAGCTTTCGAAACAGAAACGTAACAAGAATCAGTGGCAATAGTGAATTGCAAATCAATCTTCGTTTTGCGTCCAGAGACCCGGTTTTCCGAGGTAGGACGTGAATTGCAAATGGTCATAAAGTTGAAAATTAGAATGCATAGAAAATGGTTTTAATGTGATCGTAAGTAGAATTATGGTATTTAATGAAAGCTGACAATAGAAAACTAACTAAAAGTGAGAAATCGATTTCCTGCATGCCAGAGTAGTCTATTTCATGGCAAACAAACTGTTCAATAGGAAAAATTAATTGAAACAAATTGACCATAGATGAAAAAATTTGTCGTAAATTAACTAAGTAGAAAAACAAATGAGCTAAATTGAGTGTATGGTAGTGAAGTGACAATGGTAATAACTAGGTACAAAATAAAAGATATAAAAAAATGAAATCACCACTACTAACAGAACCATCAAAAGCAAGTTAATAATAATGTTTAACTCATAATAACAGCAAGAAATTAAGTGAAGCTTGCCTGAGGCTTAACCACTTTCAGATCGAAATCGTTGGGCAGGTCGGGAATGTCTTGCATGACAGTCTCTTCCAGCCCATACATGGGCAGTGTTGGGTCTTCCGGCATTTTAACTTTTGGCTCACTTTCTGTTCTTGCTTCCTCATGAATTTTTTCACTAGTCGTCGAAGTCGTTTTGTCCTGAGAGTCCTTAGACTTTGCGTCAGCACTGTCCTTCTATATTCAATGATAGGGTCAAGTAAGTAAGAACGTGAACGAAAATTTTAGGACGATTTGAAATGATGAAAAATAAATTGAGATTGCATTTTTATTGTTGATGTAAATATCATTTAGAAAAACCTTAATTATGATTTACAATTAACAAGAGAGTTGCAGGAGTGCCAGTCGATTAGGAAACATTACATCAACATTAACAAATGGAATGACTCAAGCAAGAAAATAAATTAATATTTCAACTTGTTATCTTTCTGTCAATGAACTCCATAAAAGTTTATATCTTTGCTGATAAGAATTTCATTTTCTAGCAATTTCAAATTACGAGAAAACTGTTAAAGACGTTTCATTAACGCATAGAAGCAAAATCTCTATAAAAAGTTTCTATAAATATTCTTTCAACTGGTTCACGTAGATCAAATTTAAATTAAACTAAAAAAGGTGTTTCTATCTCATAGGATCCAAAAAAAGCCTGCTGTTTAACGGATCACGGACAAATAAATAATGGCCTAATGCACTATTCTGCTGTAACTTAATTCACAGGTATCGCTAAAAAAAAGTTTTATAAAATAATCTCTATACCAATTTTACATTAAAAAATATACAACGGATTTCATGAATCATTTTAGAGTTATACTAAATAACAATTTTGACAGATAGTTGATGGTTACAGTGCCAATGGAGCAATACCTTTGATAATTGTGGAGATTGCTGAGTTAACTTCTTTTTTTCATCCTTTATGGTTTCATAGAAAATATCTGTTGTTTGATTTAAAAGCTCACTAATTTCTTCTTTTTCCTTTTCAGACTGGGAGTGAAAATTTAAACTCGAAATTGAATCGAAACAAAAATTGTATAAACTTTTTAACACTAATGGGACTGTTATAATTATTGTAAAAAAGTTTAAAATGATTGAAACGAGAATTGACGGTATGATTGAAGAAAACGAACAAATAACGTTGAAGCGGCAGCTGCCATTTGAGCCTTTACAACTTTTTTGTCTTTTTCCTTATCTGACAAAAACTTTTCTCTCCTTGCCTCTCTTTCTGTCATCTGGAATTAAAGTTGAAACAACAAAGATTACACTAAATATTTTTTTTGATTTATGTTCCATGTCTTTTTAAAAGGTTTGTGTAAAAATTAAATAAAAATTTACCACAAGAATTTGACATTGCACAATGTAACAGATTTTACCTATCTAAACATTTGGCTGGCTTTGAATTTTGCTACCAATACTTAACTATAAAATTTTTATTCTCAGTTAATATAACATAAAGAGATTACAATAAGACAAATTAAAAAAATTATTGAACCGAAAATAACCGCAAGTTTTGTCTTTCATGAAAATTTTGTGATCATTGGTAATTCATGAATCTTCAAAATTAGGAAAAAAAATGACACGGCAATGATTAAATAAAAAATCGGCAAAATAATTTATAAACTTACAAACAGGAAGAAGTTTTTCTCAGTATTTTGTGGTTCAAAGACTTCAGAACTCATCTGAAGAATGTACGTGTCCCCTGATTCAGAGCCAACAGCTATGAATTCTCCTTTCTCCTCCACTGCCAAAGAGAACAAGCGTTCATCACACAACTGCAATTTTTAAAAGGTAATGTTAGTAATGAAAATTCATTATTAAGTATTCTTAACATATATTAAACAGTTCCGTTAAATTCATAAAAAAAATTTTACTACAAAAAAAAAGTTTAACGATAAATGAACGAGGTTGACACACAAAGAATAAAATAAAGTCAAAATTTGTGCATACGTCTAGGCGCTAAATATAATGTATTGGATAATGGAACATCAGTTGCAACAACGAAATGATTTTATTAGTTGAAAACAATCTGGAAATGATGTAAACAGAAGTGTGTAAGAGAAACCTTTATAGAATACTCAGGACCCTTTTGTTTGTACATGAGGTCCCACACATCCACTGTTCCATCTGCCTTGCTCAGGAAGAAGACAGCCGGCCTCGGCGGGCTCCAACCGCCATGCAACACGTGGCTGTTGTACATCCTGGCATGTTGGGAGATGCAATTTTTATTATCATTCAAGTGGGAAAGTTTTCGGAAAAATCTAATTTGACTACTAATCTAATTTGAATAATTATATTTTCACAATTATGCACGTCCGATCAATGGAAGGTGTTCACTAATTAGATTCATTAACTTTATTTGAAACTTCATCTACATTCCTTTGTTACAAATACCTGTTATTAATTACTTACTACACATTATTAAACATTAATTTTTAATGTTTATTATTGATATTTATAATAAATATTAATTATTAATACTAATTATTAGTAATAATAATTAATTAATTATCATTCGCAACATATAAATTATTTATGTATTTACACAAATACATTGTTAGATGATGTTCACGGCAAATCTCATTCTCTCTCGCTGAGAAATAGTTAATGTATAATAATTGAAGTTGCAAGCATAACTATGAAATTAATTTGAGGCGATATCAAAGTTCACAATAACTTACGGAGTTTTCCACAGTGCTGAATGTGGAAAATCTTCGCTCCATATCTATTTTTTTAAATTTTGAGAAGTTTGAAAAAAAAATTCTGTACGAAAATTTATTGTATACGTTTCAGTAAAAAAAGTTCGATCATTTGTAGAGTGATCATAAGTTAAAATATATTAATGAGTTTGTCGTGACATGCTAACACAAATTGTTAACTTTAATGTCATTTCTAACAAATCCAATAGCCATTTTTACTGCTCAAAAACATATTTATAACAGCCAATAAGAAAAAACAAATTATTTTAACAACAGAGTCATAAACTATTGACAACAATACAACAACACACGACCACTTGAACCAGCACAATAACAGCCACGAAAATAGCAACAAAACATGAACTCCAACCAACATCTGCATGGTAGTCTCCAACTGTTAGAAAAATTTTGTAGAGATAAAAATTTCTTTCAAGCAGGTAGACAGGTCCAAGATGCTCTGAAAACACCTGTCCAATCTTCTCACCTGATTTTAACATAACATAAATTTCAGCCTGATTTTTCAAGCGAACATTAACATAAATTTCAGCCTGCTCATTATAATAATTTAATTTATTCGTATAGGCGTTGCGCTAACAAGATATTTGAACAAGAACGTTATAGAAATTCAAATAAATGAATAGTTGAGTTTAAAAAAAGTAACCGACGAACAACAAATAAAAGCTAAAAAGCAATTATTAAAACTCTCATAATCATTATTTAGATACGATCTAAATTAGAAAATAAATTTTAAAAAAATATTTAGAACCATAATCACTCAGCAGTGACCAACCTACCTGATATCTTCATAAAATTATGTAATAATTTCACAATAATTGAATGACTTGATTACTCATATATTCAACCTTCAACGAGTAAGTACCCTTACAACAAACAAAGAACATTAATTTAAGTACATCCTTCTCTGAATATACTAAATTCAAATTGGATCATTTTTCAAGACACCATGATGTGATTGTAAACAACCGGAGCAAAATATTATAAAGACAGCCTCAATTTATTTCCAACCCAATCAAATAGCTCGCATCTACATACAAAGTACAACTGATAGTTAATAAAATTTAGTTAGCTATAATGCTTGATAGGTTATGATAAAAAATTATTATTACAAAAAACTGTAAAGACCTGGATTCTTAGCTCTCCTGGTGCATGAATACACGTTGCCTTGCTCTGTTCCTACCATGAACTTCGTTGGCTGATTGAAGTATCACAATTTTGCGTTGGCATTGATAAGCATGACGTAAAAATCCGATTTTTAAATAATAAATTTTTTAGATACATTTTCAAAGAATTGTAAGAAACATTATCTGCAAGATTGATTTTCATCAAATTCAACAAATGGACGTATCATTTTAAATAATTTAACTTCCCCCAAACAATTTTGCATTCCACGTGAATGTAAATGGCCCTACATAAAACCATAAGTTAGTGAATGACTGACAGACTGGAATTATTGATAAATTAATGGTTTTATTGGATATTGACCGAATGATTGATTAATAGATTTAATGATTGATTAAATAATTAATTGAATGATTGATTGATCGATAGACTAATTGAGACTGACCACAGTTGGACTGTACTCAAGAGAAATGCCACCTTCTGCAATGTTGATGTCGTTGTTTCTGGTAGAGTCGATGCACATCTGGTCGGCATGCTCATTCAGGTTCCTCATGTCCCACCACAAAACCTGCAACACAACATTTCATTTCAAACCTTCGATCTGTGAAGCACTCTGAAACAAGAGAGCTCTGGACAGAGAAGAATGGAAGAATGAACAATCGGCTCAAAATCGGAAAACTCAATGACTGAATGATCAGTAAATCATTTTTTTATAAATCGTGTACAAACCTGACATTAAAAATTTTTTTAAACATTGGGTGAAATATGTTCTTAAAATGTTTGACAGATCAACCAATATCATCATCATCATTAAAGAAATCATCACCATCAATGATATCTTCGTCATCAAAGATATCGTCACCATCGCCATCATCAATGATAACGTCACAACCATCATTATCAGCAACCTGTCCATCAGTTGAGCACGTGAAACATTCAAATCCAGTTTTCGATTGAATCCAGATAAGTGAGTTGACTGGTTCTGTGTGCGAAATCGACTTTTCAGTGAATGATATTGGCTTACTTGATTTGCGAATGTCAAAAAAGGCAACCTGTGAAATAAAAAAGAATAATTTAAACATTACACAAACTTGCCGCCCGATGTTAAAGGTGATTCTCTCTTCAATAATTCTCAGAAAAATCAACAACACACACGCACGCACACGCACGCACACGCACGCACACACACACCGTACGTGAATACGCATCAAGCCACGCATCTTCACACCAATTGCATGTGACAGGCGGGATGTACTAGGAATCGAACCCCGTAACCACTAAGCGAGACCAGTGCATCTAATTTAAACATCAGACCATTCATTACGCCTAAATATCTTTATTAACTGAGTTAAATCGATGCAAACGTTCCTAACACACAAAATAAAGTTATTAATTATGTTCTTTCCATATGGTATGCACAGTACATATGGAACATACAGAACAATAAACTGTCCATATACCTCTATTTGCATGTTTATATAACATAACAAAAACTGTTCTTAAATTTGAATTGTGTGTGTAACATAGCAATTTGTTCATGTGATGTGCTGGACATGTAATATAATACAAAACTGTTCATAAGTGGCAGGCTTGCGTTTTACAATACAATATGCATGTTATATAATGTCCACCTGTCCGTTATGTTGTCCACCGGCAATAAGGTTGCTATCCTTGTAGTTGTACTGCATGGTCAGCATTGGACTGGTGGGGTAGAGGATCTGCTCAGGCTGGAATGGATTCTCTGGAAAAATTAAATTTACAATTTAATGATTACTTCTTCCTAACAATTGTAAAACAAATTAAAGTTATTAATGTTGTTAGTTAATATCAAAAAAAAATTTAAAATATAAATGACTATTAAATCAGCAATCAGCACAAGAGCTGACCTACTCTCCATATGTAACTTTCATAACAGGGTTTCAAAATTTCTTCAAAATCCAAATCGCAATGCACCACCCCAATCTTCTCACTGCCCTCATTGGGATGAAATGTTAAACAAGACACGCCTCGACCTAATCCACTGGGGTCCCTACAGTGAATTGAAGGATGAATGGATGGTGCATTACGTGTTCAATTGTTTAAGTCATTAAGTCTGCATGCTAGTATGATGCTTTCACTTTCAGTTATAGCAACTTCATCTTAAGCTATTCAGTTTGCTCTAAAGCAATCAACGTAAATTTATTCATGAAAACACAAACAATGACAAAACATACAAAATAAAAAACATGAATGAATTTTTATCAGAAATAAATAATTTCCATTTTCTCAGACTCACCTAAGGTTATAAGCAACAGAGGCAGAGACCTCAGGGTGATATTCGAGTAAGGGTTCTTTGGCAAAGTACCTTACATATATGTCTATGGAGTTGTTCTGCTGGATGCATTCCTCCATTGACTAGCATATGCAATTTAGAATTCAGTTATTTTTTATTCTTATCTTAAGCATTTTTAAAACAATTGCATTTTTATGTGTAGTTAATATGTAAAGTGTGTACAAGTTTATAAAATGTTATTCATAAGTGGAAGAAAAGATTTTAACTTCCTATATCATCATCCAAAATACTTTTAATACATCAAGAGAAAAAATTGAATGAAATTGAAACTACCTGTCAAAAGAGTATACAAATGTTAAATTAATCAAAAAATTTGAATAAAAAGTGGTGAACTTTTAACTTCTGACACCCTATCAACCTTGCATAAATTGTTCATAGTTGGAATGTATGATTCTTCTCTTTCTGCTTTCTTTCTGTACCTCACAGTTTGATCCTGATCGAGGTAGCTGATGTCTTTAGGCCAGCCGCCCTCCATGTGGTTGATCCCAAATGTTGTGTTTTTTATGTGCGTTGTATTTATCTTTAAATTAAAACATGTAACAAAATTGAATCAAAGTAGAACCTAATTTAAATTGTAATTAGATATAATAAAATATTCGAATGTTTTAACAACAGAAACAAAATTTGGAAAATATAAATTTATGAACAATATAATTAAAAAGTGTATTGGCAATAAAATAATAAACACACTATACCTCTTTGGCAGACATAGGTGAACATGCATCAATTTCTCGATCAATTTGAAACCTTCTTTGGAAAAGTTTGGAAAGATTATGATCAGGTGGAATGTCTATGAGAGTCTCTGATTCTTTGTCATGAAATGATGGCCATCTACCGAAAGCAGAACGAAACTTGGAATATCCAAACACTGTGTTCTGATCAAAGTTTAATTGAAAAAGTAGGCAAAGGTTGATATGAGATTATGATTTTTTATATTTTACTATTTTCAGCTAGTGAAAAAAATAGCTATTAGTATTAGAATTAGTTAGTTGTATAATATTGGATTGGTAGTTAGTCGAGTCGAGTAGGAGTACCATTACGATTACATTAAATGACATTTTAATATAATTTTTTTTAGTTTTACTTTTAGAGATAGAACAAGTCTTCAAAACAGAAAATAAAAAAAAATTAAAAAAAATACTTCGACATTAATTTTCTTTTTGGCACCCTTTTCGAATTGCGACATTTTCAACTTTTCTACAGCTGCCAACAATCAAAAACGTGAATAAAATAAAATTTTAATAAAAATTGGAAAAAAATTTTCACAAAATTTAAATGCCAACAGAAACGCGCCAAGACGACAGAACTTAAAAAATTACAGTTATCCAGGTGTCGTCGAATATTTTAACATTATATATATATAAATTTTAATGGACATTTTTTGAATTTATAAAATCCAAACCATATAAATTAAGAGCAATATAATAATACAGGTTAAATATTTTATTGTGAAAATTAAATCAATTCACACTACAGAAGCTTGGTATTCAATGGCAACTGATTATTATGGTTCCTTGGTAAACAAACGTTTTGTATAATTCTGCCGTACGATTTTTTGTTGTTTAGTGAGTTATGGTTAGTATTAGTGTTTGTGTTTATTAGTGAGTTCGTGTACCTTTATCTTAAGGCTTGGAGTTTAGAAGAAAGTTACAAGTTAATCTAGAATGGAGTGTAAGAGTGCAAGATGTAGTATTTCGTATACTACGTGTGTGTGTTTGTTTGTGTTTGTGTGTGTGTGTTTGTCGTTTGTGCAATAATATTATAATTATTATATGACGCGATTTTGAGACAACGATGGCGTGATCATGATCATGATCAACATCAAATGAAATTTAAATTAGCATTTTATATATGATATCTATTATTATTTATTTATTTATTTATTACAAATTATTAGGTAGTATAGCAAACATACAAACTACAAAGTAAGTAGCAGGCATATTATATTTTTATTATTTATCATATATATAAAGTTTATTTATGAACAGAATCTGATGGTGAACATGTTATGTTATCTTTTACCATAGTAATTAATAAACAAACTAAACTTCTAGATTATTTTAATTTAATTTAATAATTATTTACAAAAGAAGAAAGAAGAATCATTGATTAAAAACTTTAATCATGATTAAACTATTAAACTTAACTAAAGACTAAAGAGCTTGCCCTGTACCTCCTTCCCACCTTCTACTTCTAAATTCTAAGTAAAAGACTTGTTTCATTGTTTATTAGTTTATTCCATTGTTCTTAACTTAGCCTTAAACTGTAAATATAAAGTTTAAAAGTAAAATATCAATGCTAAAAAAGTATCTAACTTTCATAAATTTGATTTTAAAATAAAATTTAAAAAACTTTCTTATAAAGATGACAATGGATGTGTCAATTTCAGTCTCAGCTCCTGGAAAGCTCATCATGTTTGGTGAACATGCTGTTGTCTATGGAAAAGTTGTTTTGTTTTTTCAAACAACATTTTAAAAATAATTAATAATAAAATTCAATTAAGGGTTTTTAAATGTTTAGTAAAAAGAGTAAAAACTTGTTCTTTAAATGATGTAATAGATTTTACTTAATCACATCAACAAACAGAAAGCACTTGCAACAAGTTTGGCCATGAAATGTAACTTATATGTTAAAAAAGTTCAAGAAGAAATCATTAGAATTAAACTGTTTGATTTTGGTCAGTCCTATGAATGGCCTCTTAATCATTTGGCCAGTGTCCATTCTTCAGTAGGTACATGAATTGTGTTTACAAAATTTTAATCAATTTATTGATTATTTGGATTGCTTGGAATACTTTTGCAGCTGATGGATCAGATCATGTTGAGGATGTGGCAGTAGATGAATCATTGTTAGGAATGTTGAAAGATACATTGAAACTAGATGATTATACTCGACCAGAACATTTAGCAGTATTAACTCTTATGTACATCTATCTAATCTTGAATTACAAAAAGTAGTATTTTGAATTTTTTTATTTTTGTAAATTTAAATTGATCATATATGGAAATATTTACCTGCATAGCATTGTTTATCAACAAATTATGTCAATATTTTTTTTCAATACATTTTATGTTGTTTTAATAGCATTCAATTAAAGTTGTTAAGTTAAGTCAATTAAGCAAAGTTAAAAATGTATTAATTAGAAAATTAATTGTTTAATCTTTAAATTTAATGACCTCTCCAGAGCTTTGGTAGGTTTTGAAATGGCAGTTGAATCAAGATTGCCCATAGGAGCGGGTCTGGGCAGTTCGGCGGCCTTCAATGTCTCCCTCACCGCTGCTTTGCTTGTCCTACGAGGAAAAATAAGTTTGTTTTGCTTATTTTCCCCATTTTGAGTTATTATTTTGTTATTATGTAATAAATAATCTTATCAAATTATAAATTTTTTAAATTTTCGTAGTTTTGTTGGTAATGCGGAAACAAATTAACATTGTTGTTTCCATTAATAATAATATTCATACTCATGTTATAATATTGTTAATGTAATGTAAATATAATATCTTCAACATGAATTGCTTTGTAACAGGATTGCCCGAAATAAATGACTCCAACCATCGTGATGTTCCTACAAAAGTTCAACTGTCAAGGAGTGACCTCCAGCTTATAAATAAATGGTCCTTTCTTGCTGAGAAGATCATTCATGGCACACCTTCTGGAATTGATAACTCTGTGGCCACGTATGGTTTGTCATGATGGATGGTCAGGTGTTTTGTCCCTTGCTGTTATGTTAATGAACATTGAAACTGTAATCTGATTCAAAATCGTGAGACTGTAAGGTTTGATGAGTTTTGTTTGCTTGCATGTGCATTTTGGTAAATATGTGTATGGTTCTGTTGGATTAGTATGTAAGAAATGGTACATCTGGTTTTGTTAGAAATGTTTTATTTTTATTCCGTTTATGGTGTATTTATTTTTGTTATTTGTTATCAATTTTGAAAAAGTTGGGGTTTTTCATGAAAATTTTTGAAAAATGGCAAAAAATTGATGACAATAGGTGTCTCCTCCGCAAAAAAAGGCCCTTTCTACCGTAAACGCCTAAGAACAAATGTCGTTTAAAGGCCGTTTTAAGGCGTTTTTTTGGTGGATATTTTTTTTTATTTTTTACAACGAGTTAAAATTTTATTTGGGGTGTGCCTGGTGCCTCAACATGAGACATAACATGTTTCTTTTATGCAATGGCAGGTGGTGCTTTGTGGTTCCAAGATAAGAAGATCATCTTCATTGAGAAGTATGTTGGATTGGATTCTTCATGTCTGCAATGCTGTGCTGTATCGTTCGATTTTTTAAATTTATATTTAGTGGAAAGTAGGGATGCACCGGATTCAGGTTTTTCAAATCCGGCCGGGGCCGGACTTGGCCGGATTTAAAATTCAAAAACCGGCCGGAGCCGGGGCCGGATTTTAGTTACCATTTTACATACGTTAGAAAAAATACTCACATTTACGGTTATCTACATGTTGAACATCAAAAAATAACACCAAGCAAATAGTTAATTAATTCAAATATATGAATAAGCTGTGTGATACGCCAAATTCTGTACACAAAGATCAGCTTATAATTTATGCATAACCCATGTTATAGCATAAAGAAAATTGTCCAGCTCATCTCATAATTAGTGATGTTTTTATTATGTGTCATGTATGCACGTGCACAAATTTTTTTACACAAAGATCAGCTTATAATGTATGCATAACCCATGTTATAGCTCAAAGAAAATTGTCCAGCTCACCTCACAATTAGTGATGTTGTTATTATGTGTCATGTATGCCTATCCTAACCTTTAACATACCATGTTCTTAAATTATGCGCTTATCTCTATGTATATATATATATATATATTATATAGCTATATGATCCGTCATATACAATTATATAGTATAAACACGTGCACAAGTTCTTTTACACATAGATCAGCTCATAATTTATGCATAACCCATGTTATAGCACAAAGAAAATTGTCCAGCTCATTTCACAATTAGTGATGTTGTTATTATGTGTCATGTATGCTTAGCTTTTAACTTATTGACATAAAATTAATTGAATTCAATGAAATTTTTTTTTCTATTTATAACATTTTTAAATGTCGATAGACGCTTAAATCCGGCCACCAAATCCGGCCGGGGCCGGATTTGATAAAAAAGCCGGATTTTGGCCGGGGCCGAACTTCGGTGCATCCCTAGTGGAAAGTTAAATTAGGGTTTATAAATTATAAAATCGTTATCCAATAAGATGAAAATGGCTTGTTCAGTTAGATAAAAATACGTTGTAATGCTATCACATCAACTAGAAAATAATTCTACCTATTATCATGCAAGCTAGGTTGTGTTGAACATTGTCATTTTTATTAACAACTGATATGAGTTATTGTTTTTATAATGATACGTGTTATTATCACGAATAGTTAATACAAATATTTTGTTTTTTGTAATTGTGTGTATTCACATGCTTAACCAACAACATGCAACAGAATGCCCAACTTGAAAATATTGCTAGTCAATACAAACGTATCAAGAAGTACAAAACATTTGGTGCAACGTGTCAGAAAGAAAGTAAATGAGGTTATTATTATTTTATTATGAATCTATTTTTCACATTTTTTCCTCAGTCGCTTACGTATGATAATTTTTTAACTTTTACACGGGTTAGCAGAATGATATGCAGATGTGGCATTTGGATTATAATGTTTCATGAACTGTCATTACAAATTATGACCGATTATCATTTTAAAATATTCAAAGTATCCAGAAATATTAAATCCAATCATGGAAGCAATTGAAGGCATATGCAGAAAATGCGGTGATCATCTAGAAGAGTTCTGTGAACTTCAGAAGTTAAAAACAAACAGAGAACGGCTGAAAAAACATTTGCAACAAGCAGGACAACAAACAACAAAACATCGACAGGATGATGTAACAGGAGTTGCAGTCAACGACGACATCTCTCCTAAGGAGGATGTTGCAAATACTGACCGGGGTGACTCAAATGATGAGTGCTGCAGAAGATTGAATGAACTTTATTCTTTATTCAATGTAAGTTATCATCAATTTTTTTATTTCAATTTTTCTTACCCTAACAATTTAATTTCTTGGTTTTGATGTTATGTAAGCGTTTTATTTATTTTTAGTATTTTGTTTTACTAGTGCAAATTTTGTTAGGACTTGATGGACATGAACCAACACTTGCTCGCGTCCCTTGGGGTCAGTCACAAAAGTTTGGACGAGGTGGTCGCAGTTTGCAAGAAGTACGACGTGCATGCAAAGTTAACAGGAGCTGGTGGCGGAGGATGTGCGTATGCCCTACTTGCACCTGGTCAGTTGTTATTCAATCTTTAATACTTTACATTACATCTCTGTTCAAATAGTTCACTCATCGCTTTTTTAATATCATCTCTTATCGAGTTTTATGTTAATTTTTTTTTTCATTTTTTATCAGACTGCAAAGCCGAAACAGTTGAGAAGATGGCTGAAGAATTGAACTGCTTTGGTTACAAATGTTTCGAATCTTCCATAGGTGGCCAGGGAGTCGATATATCTATCGGACCATTGTAGCATAATTTTAATCAATATCAGTTTTCATTTCCCAATAAAAATTGTCTAGCTGTTTTGTATCTTGCAAGTGTACTCAATTTTAATTCATCTGATGACTGTTACAAATCAATTCAAAATTGAGGTTGCTTGTTTAGTGCGATTAGATGCACAGACATATGGACTCAAATATTGCGATATTTTTGTGCGGGAAACCATGAGCTCATAGAGAACACACTATCCAACGACAGCGCAAGAAAGTAATTGATGTGCCGATGTTGGTTGCTGTCTGCGCATAAAAACTCACTAATACGTGATATAAATGACATAATATTTGCACAACGTCGATGCTTACATACTATGTGCCCCCTGATTTATTCCCATCAGAGTGTGGATATTTTCAATTGAAAATGTCAATCAACGTCATTAAAAATAATTATCTTGTAATTTTTTGTGCTTTTCGCATTCGGTTGATTTATATTCGTTCAATTCTTATAAATATGACAAAGTTGTTAAACTGGTAAAGTGCTTATTAACTTATAATTGATGTAGTAATTAGTACATGTAGGCTAAAAAAGGTGCAACAGGTTGTATCATATTTTCTAATTGAACCTATGATGGCATATTTTTACATAGCATATTACATAGTTTTATTTATTTCTGTATCAATCCCGGCTGGTAACTAGAAAAATAGATTGAAGAAAAAATACAGCGACTTGCTGTATGCAACATAACTATAGCATTGCGTTGCAAGTTGTTTCATCAACTTTTGCATCTCGTATGTATGTGGTTGGTGTGTTTGAGTGCAAATGTATGCAGTATGCTTACATTTCTACTTAGTTTGTACGTGTGCTACTTATGTCTATTATTATGCTTTTTATGTTCATCTGGATGTGGTAATACAATCGCATGTGTGCTTGTTTCATCATTTCGCTTGAACATCTACATTTTCGTAAAACATAATGATGTATGTAGTGCTAAATTGCCTAGCAAATGTTCGCTTTCAAGTTTAGCAACTGTCTGTTATGGAGTTTCAAACATGAACGTTTGAATAATTTTATCTGTTCAAATATGTTTTTGTTGCTGCCAAGATAACAACGGTGCGTAACAAACGGGTTTGTGATGCCGTTAGCACCATAACGTTATAGTATTGTTCCTAAATAGTTTTGCTGACAAAAAGATGATTGTTACACTTCGGATAACAACCAACAAAAGTATTAATAATTTTAATTAACTACGTTGAAAATAAATTATACACAAAAGAATTTATAAATATAAACAATTTATTATAATTTATAAACAATTAAGAATCTTACACAAAAGAATTTATAATTTGTGTGTTAAACTCGTCAAAATTGCTTTTTAAATAGTTTCCGAATGAAAACTGATCGACATCAAGCATTCACCTACCAACCATTTATTTATTTTTTATATCATGATTGTATTATTATAGATTTTTATCAGTGATGCAGGAAGGCTAGAGGCAGAATCCCGATAAAGCATTTACAACAATCAGCTTCAACTTCATCTCGTCATAAATTATAACGGTGTCATCATTTTCATCATCACTTTTACATCGTTGCTGCCGACATCATCAACAGCTTGCAATATGAACCACATGGAACGGTACATGCAGTTCCTGAACTTCAGGGACTCACTGAATCAGGATGAAAAATGTTTGAAGAAGTTGAACGAGGTGTTGGCTGGCGGTAGATACAACACCACAAATCAAGGACCTGTTGAATTTGTTGATCATCTCTATTGCGGTGAGTCAGTGAGTGAGTGGATGCTGGCCGGTTGATTTTGAGACTTTATCAGTTGAAGTAGCCTAAAAGCAAACAGAAACGCGAAATAATAAGTTAACGTAAAAGTCACGTTATTTTAATTGCTTTAATGTCTTCGGTGAAAATTTGTAGTTGGAATCTTAACATTTGATTACAAATATTATAAACAATGTTAGTTTTCTAAACTTCGAGTGAAGCATATTTTGATCATTATGAAATTAAAAAAAATTCCCTGTGATAATAATGTTTGACAATGCAACTAAAATAAAATTTTAGAATAGAGTATATAAATTTTATCTAAATAGGCAGCAAAGCAGACGCTCGCGACATAAACATGATGCGTCGTTTGAAGATAACTCACGTCCTCAACTGCGCTCCATCTCATCCTTGGAAAAGAAAATCATCCATATCACCCTCGTCTTCATCATCAACATCTTCAGGTTCATCGTTCGGTCGCAGAGCAAGTCTCAACAGAAACGTCAGACACAGCCACGATTATTATCATTCTCGTTCACCATCTTTACTCACCATTTCTCAGCCTCCAACGTCATCAAGTTCTAATCCATACGAAAATGAGAACTGTCACGTTGCTAGTTATCTTGAAATTGATGCTCTGGATAACGATTCGTTCCCAATCCTGAGAAGCTGTTATGACAAGGCCAAACGATTTATAGAATCCGCCAGAAGAAGTGGTGGCAGAGCTTTTGTTCATTGCGAATTAGGTTTGGGAAACTTAATATTATCACGCTAACTGCTTAACTATATCAAGTTCATAAACTAACTTTTTTTAATTTTGACATATTGCCATTTCAAGACATTAAAATGGCCTAAAAACGACATTTCATAATTTCAAGGCATGAATCGCAGCATAACACTCTGTCTCGCATATTTAGTTGAGTATAGTAGGATGGACCTGAATGTTGCTCTCAAGCAGATTCTCATTCATCGCCCAAACATTTTAACCAACGATGGCTTCAAAAAACAACTGGTCCAATTTGCTATGGAAAGGAATTTAATTTCTTGTAATTAATTACATTTTTTAAAAATAGGTAGCTGTTAATTGAATTTTCTTTTTGAATATTTTTAAAAGTTGTTATAAAAAATTGTTTCGAAGATCGCCATACATATAGTTTATTTATTACATATAGTTTCATTTATTGACGTTTTATAGAATGATTCTACAATAGGTGAGTAATCTTTTAATAATATTTCACCCATTGTCTTAATTAACAATTAACAGTTAACAAATATAACCACAAGAAATCTTTTATTAGAATATTGAGGTGGATCTTCATATGTTAGAGTTCTGAAACAAATTTCCAAGAAAAAAATTATACTAACTACAAAATGTTTATCAATAAAAATCTATCAATTAGTTTATAAAGCGCTATTTCCGCAATGTTCAACAACATTCCTCAATGAATTTTGCAAATAGATAGGTCTTGAGATCCGCTCTGAACTTCGAAAGTGATGGAGAAGTAGTTAGAGAAGGAGGTAGAGACTTCCAGAGATAATGGCCAAAAAAAGCAAATGCAGATTTAGCAAAAGAGTGTTTAACATGAGTTAAGAAGTGAGAACAAGAAGACGATCGCAAACTAGGGCGTTTATGTTCAATTGATATATCTGATAAGTACTTAAGAAATAATTTAGATTGAGACTTATACATAAATGTGTAAATTTTTAAAATTATTCTATAGTTCATAAGTAGCCAGCGCAAGAGAAAAAGATTAGTGATGTATGAGAAGAGAAAAGGGCGCGAGCAACTAGATGAGCAGCAGAGTTAAAAGCTTTACTTAAAAGATAGAGCGTAGAATCAGGAAGACCATAGTAGAGCGAGTTACAATAATCCTAGATCAAACTAAAGAAGGAGAAGAGTAGCGTCGTCAAGGAAAGGCAAAAGTTTTTTTTCTACGAAGATGAAAGTAAGAACTTTTAGCAACACCATTAACCTGAGAAGAAAGAGACATGCTAGACAAGGCCTAGACTACGAAACTTATGAGAAGCATCAAGAGTTTTAGAAAAATTAACAAATCTATTTGTTTGGTGATACGTTTAAGTGATGATATAAAATTGCGTTATAATCAAAATCGAAATATTCAAATTATGTTATCAAGTAAATTTAAATATTAATATTTCAAATGTAAAAGATTTTTTAATGTGGGATGGCCCTATCATATCCTTACCATTCATTATACACACACCTTTTTAGGAAGACAAGAGTTTCATTGACATTACATCACACAGTTAACAAAGTTTCAGCAACTTGCATGTGAATGTTGATATGGGTAAACTGCAGGAGCTAAAATATAGAATGTTTTGGTCGACCCAAACGCTCTATGCTCAACGTTCAAAATCATGCGTACTACAGTTCAATTTCTATTAAAAGATTAAATAGTAATTTTTGTGAAAATGGTTAATTCGGCTCAGGTACAATTTTGTTTTTGAAAACCATACAATCGGTAATGTATTTTATATTTAAAACATTTAAAAAATATTTTCATTCCTTTTTTTCATTCCAATATTTTCATTTCATTTCATTCATTTAAAACATTTAAAAAATATTTTCATTCCGTGATTTCATCTTAGCTTTGTAGTATAAAATAACTGGATAAGTTTATCCCACAAACGTTCAAGTAATAAATTAAGCGTTTAACCTGGAGTTCAATCGGTGTGGAGCACTTGAAAAACTTTCATTTAAATGTTTATTTTTCATAACTGATTTTACATTAATTGAAATAATAACTTAATATTTGTAAATTATATTTTAAATTTCATTTAATATTCAGGTTTATGTAAGATTTTATCTCATCTACACACACGCATCTCGACGGCCACGGTTAAAATTATTGTAAGATGGGCATCACCGAAACATGAATACGAGTGCACTCTTTCTTCTACTTTTTTATGAACTAAAAAATACTTGAGTAAACTCAAATTTTCAAAAAAAAATTTAATAATTTAAGAAAAATGTTTAAAAAGATATCAAAGTTCAAAGAAATCTTTCACGCAAACGTCGTGCTACTTTTAAAAAATATTTTTTTCGCAGTTTGTTTGAACTTCCAAGTGATTCTCTGTGGTGTGGTCGTATGTCGTGCTGCGTCGCAATGATCCATTGTGTGAGTGTTCTGGTGTCTGTGAGTGTGACTATTGTGAGAGATATGTTGAGTCTGTTCGTTGCGTTATTATGTCGTAGGGATACAAGTGTACTTTTACTACACACATGCAATGCGGCATTGTGTTATACTGTGCTGGGCTGTGTTGTGTTGTGGGGCGAATGTCGCTAACATAGGCGACGCTGAATTGTACAATGTAGAATTTTGTTTGCTATATGTTGTATAACATTGTCCTGGAAGGTTTTAATTAGAGGCAGTTAAGTTAAGAGTATTGAAATACAGATTGGAAGTGTTACAAATGGAGGGTGGAAAAACTCCCATCGCCTCATGTTACTAACACCGTGTCGTGTAAGCATCATTATCTTTATATGATAGCTTTATATGATAGATCTTTATGTACTGTTTTGTGTAATATAAAATGATGCCTGCATTTTGTTTGCACAACATCTATCTGGTTGGTTGGTTGGTTGGTTGGTTGGTTGGTTGGTTGGTTGGTTGGTTGGTTGGTTGGTTGGTTGGTTGGTTGGTTGGTTGGTTGGTTGGTTGGTTGGTTGGTTGGTTGGTTGGTTGGTTGGTTGGTTGGTTGGTTGGTTGGTTGGTTGGTTGGTTGGTTGGTTGGCTGGCTGGCTGGCTGGCTGGTTGGTTGTGTAAATAACCGTTTTTAAACTGCTTAACATGCAGACAGGTGCAAGTCTTAATTTCCGCGGAACTGCGTTTAAAATTACATGTTAAAAAACAAGTCTGCATGAGCAATTTTTTTTTATTTCACGAATGAGTTTGATTCTTTTCTTTTTAAACATTGATTTGCAGAGCTATTTTTATCTAAGAAGAATTTACGCAAATTATTTCAGAATGAATATGAAAAAAAATCGCGAAAATTGTATATTTTTAATGTTGAAAATTTGAAATAGTTAAACAGAATAAAAACATGAATAAACCAGCCGAACAAAAATAATATCGCCTACTTTGAAATTATTAATACTAGGAAGAAGAAAGATGGAGCTGAAACATGACAACACAGTAGAATAATAAAGAAAATGTATCTAGAGTAATTTAAAATTAATGTTAAATTTATTCTTTTGAAATATTACATGAAAAGTAAGCCCTATTCATGTTTAAATGATGAAAAGGCATGATGAAAGCAAGCGTGAGTGAGCGAGTAAGTGAGTGAGTTAGTGAGTGAGTTATTGAGTGAGGGAGTAAAAGAGAGAGAAAAAAGTATGTGTGCCTAACTATGTGTGACATTTGTGTGTGTAATTATTTGTTACGAAATAAAAAATATTTATTATTATTATTTATTACTAAATAATAAAACATAGAGAACAAGAGCAAAGTTATGAAAGGTTATGAAATGATCGAAATAATAATATGTGTTGCATACCAGCATGCAACAGTTGTGAATATTTGAAGGACCGATCTACATTTTTCAACACGAATGATGCATTTTTATGTTAAACTTTGAAATTTACCGACAGAGAAAGAGAACGATAGAACACAACAACAGTCACTGCAATAACAACCAGAACTACTACTACTACCACTACTACTACTACTACTACTACTACTACCACTACTACTACTAACTACTATTACTACGACTACTACAACTACTATTAGTACAACTACTACTCCTAGCTCCTATAGAACTACTACTGCTACTACTACAAGCAATTACTACCGCCACTAAATACTGAAAAAAGCAGTACCTACTAGTGGAGTTGATAATATTAGGAAACTAATTAACTGGGTAATTATCGTAATATTTGATAATTCATGCAATTGTTCCTTCCACAAAATATTTGGTAAACAAATTAATCACAAACAAATATTTGTAATTATAAATAATTGCACACGCGTGCGCACACTCACACACAGAAATACGGACAAACACACACACACACACAAACAACAAACAAGTACAGACAAACACACTCACACAATTTTTTGCATATAATAATAATTATGCAGAATTCAAAGCAACCAATTTTAAATAGGCATATTATAAAGATGAATGTCATGTTATTGTAAAACCGAGGTACGCGTGTGTGTACGTGTGTGTGTGTGTGTGTGTGTGTGTGTGTACGCATGTGTATGTGTAGTGTAGTGCGTGTGTGTTGTGTGTGTGTTTGTGTGTGTGTAGTATAGAGAACGATAGAACACAACAACCAGATTGACAACAACAACAACTACAATAAACAAATATTAAAATCACGACAACAACGATGCCGCAATCACGACAAATATAAGAATCATAAAAACACAACAACAACAACACAACAACAACACAACTCTTACAGACAAAGACAACAACAAAATGATCGATTCGTTCGATAAAAGTGATCAATTTTCGTCACATTACATAGTATTGTGCAATCTAACAATTTGTTGCGACATTGATTTTTATTTGTCATTCATTGCTGTCATTCATTGCAATTTTTGTGCATCTTAAAAAAATTTTTTTATGTATTTGTCTTTGTTAAATTTTTTCCCAATTTATTTATTTGTCTGAAAATTTTATGTGTGTACCTTGTACCAGGATGATGACATGAACGAACATATCCGCAGACGTGATTAGATATATAAAGAATATCAGTCGAAAATATCTTGATACTATCTGCGGAGCATCACACACAGACTGTAAAAAGGTGTCCACATATCACTTTTGTACAAAGTGCAGGAGTAAAAACATATAAAAAAAAACGAACAAATTTAATTGTAGACAAATATTTAAGTTGGAAATTTATTTTAAACAGGTTGACAAACTTCTAGCTAAGTATTGTTGAATAATTTTTATCCAAATTAGACACATACATATTACATAAATATATATAGAATTCAATTAACCTTTAAACTCCTCACTCTTCTTAAGTCTTACGATGCCTGT